ATATTTCTGCTTCATCAGCCTTTTCTTTATGGATTCATTTCTGGTTAATATTGCTTCATGTTGCCACATTATTTATTTATTATTTTATTTATTCTTGGTTTTATTTCCACTCCTAACAGAACAGAATAATGAAGTTCTGTTTCTAGTCTTCTGGTCGACTCACTTTCTTTGTAAACCTTCTTGATCTCCATCAGCTCCTCGTTGTTTCTGGAACAAACCAACTCGATCAGCGTTTCCTCGTCGGTTCCGAGCCCCTGAAAACAAAGTCATGACTTTACATCCCATAATAACCACAGCACTGCACTGGTATGGGCAGCGGGTCTCTGTGTGAGCTCAGAGCGCCCCCTGCAGGCCGGAGCAGGTCAGGGTGAGCCGTCCTCACCTTGATGGAGGCTCTGAGCTCGGAGGCGTCGTACTGAGACGTGCTCTTCATCAGACCCAGCATCAGGGCCTCCAGGGAGCCGGACAGCGCCGCCTTCAGGGCCCCGGGCAGGTCCTGGAAACGCAGAGGTACAGGTCAGAGCGCTGGAGCGGCAGGAGGTTCTGGTTCTGACAGCAGGGACACGGACAGCTACGGGTTCTGGTGTCGCATCGTCAGGTTCAGAACAAAACGCGTCAGGTTCATGTCTCGGCTGCTCAGAATCACATTTACTGTAAATTCAATTCTAGTTTATTTTGTGCTCATTGTTTTGGTGTTGTAGCCCTGTGATAGGCTGGTTACCTGTCCAGGTGAACCTGCCTTCACCCTGAGTCGGCTGGGATAGGCTCCGCCCCCCATGATGGATGGATGGTGACTGACACTCAGAAAACTTTGGAAATAAATCAGTGAAAGTTTTGCTGTGAAGCTGCAGCTAACGAGGATTTAATCAGGAGGTCTGTCCGTTAGTTCCCCTCCTCACTAGAACCTCCCTCAGAACCTCCCAGCGTGCAGCCGGTCCTCTCAGATCATGAACCTGACGGGTTTTATCCCCACCGGGTCAGACAGAAGCTCTCCCACCTTCCTGCTGATCCGCTCGTACTCGAAGGCGATCTGTCGGCGCTGCTCGTAGCTCCGTCTGGTCAGGATGTCGATGATCGTCTGCTCGTCCACGCCTGCAGGTCAGAAACATGAGATCAGCTCCAGACTGAACAGAGTCACAGAGTTTCTGGTTTGGATGTTTGTGTTTCTGCACTTCTTCAGCTCCTGGTTGTTCTCGTGATCATCTGACTCTGAACAGAGTGAAGGAGCTCCAGAGCTCCGGTTCAACAAACGACCTCCTCTGTGGTACTGACGGAAACATTCAGCGGTTCGGACCAGAATCCTGTTTTCACGGCCGTGGATGTTCTGGTCGGAGTGAACTCTGGTTCCTCTGCGCCGTCGTTTCCGTCTGAGGAGGGAAATCCTGCTTCAACAGGAAACATCCTGCAGCTGCAGAAGCAGCGAGGGTTCGATTCCCTGAGACGCTCAGCAGCAGGTCTGGATCGTCAGTAATCTGGCGTCTGATTGGACGAGGCTGGGCTCAGAGCGACGCCCCCTACAGGCTGATCTGGTTCATCGGATTCTTTGAATCTTTAACGTTTGTGGCGTGAACATGAACAGCTCTGTCCTGAGTATGAGACGTACTCAGAAACTCCTGCAGCCTGTAAACACCTCGTTTCTCTTCACATCAGGTCCACGTCTGGAGAGTCTTTGAACTCACCATGAACACACTCACCAGCGTACAAACATCCCATAATGCATCTCTGTGAAGGTTCCCAGTCCTCCAGGTCCTGGTTCTTCTGGTGGATTAATGGTAGCAACTGGACCTGCTTGAGTTCCTTGAAGACGTTCCACCTTCATCCAGGAGGCTTCATCAGCTCTGACTGACTGGTTGGGAGTTCCACATCCTGATATCCTGAAGGAGACGTTAACACCTGAGTTACCCTAACGAACCCTAACGAACCCTAACGAACCCTAACGAACCCCACTGTGTCAGGGGGAGCACTAACGAGTCACATAACGAGGGGGAGGAGCAACAAACCTCCAGCTGGAACCCAAACTCAGGTGTTAACGTCTCCTTCAGGATATCAGGATGTGGAACTCCCAACCAGTCAGTCAGAGCTGATGAAGCCTCCTGGATGAAGATGGAACGTCTTCAAGGAACTCAATCAGTCCAGCTGCTACCAATAAACTACGAGAAAAATCCCATAATGCATCACGGTGTGTCTGGGCCTGTCTCCATCCATGACACCTTCTAGTCCTCACGTGTGGAACCAGCAGACACCTGTAACGTGGACTTTGAGGTACAGCATCGTCTCAGCTGTTGGTTCTGATTCACGTTAGATATGAAACGTTCACAGAACCAACCCGTCGGTTCGTCTCTGCAGGAGAATCATTCTGAGACTCGATTCATTTACATCCGGAGCTCTAAGAAATGTGGCGACGTTTCAGAACCACCGTCGTTCATGTATTGTCTCTGCAGCAGCAGAACCCGACTGTCTGACCTCCAGACGTCCCAGAATGCACCAGTCTCCATCCTCTGCACCGGCAGAAGGCTCTTAAGCCCGGCTCCAGATGATCTACGGTCTAGAGTTTAAACTGCTTCCTAGAGTCTCACCTTTGGTTTTGATGGCCGTCTCCAGCCGGGCAGCATCCTTCGCCGGGTCGAAGTCTCGGACCGGAACCACGGTGGGAAACTTGGGCTCAGCTTCCTACAGAGGAGAGACGGACATCAGGAGGACGTACGGTGGACAAACACTGCCTCTACACCCTGAAGGACTCGTCTGCTCTGAAGAGCTTCCTGGACTGAACCTTCCTGGACATGAAACCGACTTCTTCATGTTCTGTTTCCTGCTGTTCTCTCTTTGTCTCATTTCACATAAATTCAACCAAAGTTCCTCCCAAACCTCCTCACAGTCGTCTGATCCTGGATCTGCAGTGACTTTAGGATGTTTAATGAGAAGTTTAACTCGTTAACGTCTTCTCAGGATCAATTATCTCAATTATTTTATATTGATGGACCATAAAAAGTCCAAAGGAAACACTTGATCGTGGAGTTCTCTGGATGAATCATTGATCAGTTATCAGCTGTCTGGTGTTCCAGGTGAACGGAGGGCGGAGCCTCAGGAACACACCTTTACCTGCTTTATGGCGCCGTAAAACGCTTTGAGATAACAGAGGGTTTGTACGGTTACATGATCAGGAAGGTTGAAGATGCGTTACTGACGGTTTCTACGCAGACACACGAGTATTCAGAGAGTTCACTGCAGCTAAAGTACTGAAGATTATCAAAGGAAGAGTCGCTGAAGGTCCTCTGAAGTCAGAGCAGCTTCTCTTTGCTGCTCCTCTGCTTCAT